ACTTTAAATGTGTTTATTTTAAAAGACATGTCAATTCTGTCACTGGCTGTCTTGCTCTGTTAATGTTCAAATAGCCTATCTTTTAGGGTGGGAGGGAGTGGTTTTTAATGTCTTTGCCTGATAGAGTAAAACTTGTCAGTACTCTGTCATCCTTTTATTAGTGAGGCGGGGGTGTGAGATTTTTACTGACCTGTGAAATCTAGAACTCTTAGAATCACTGATCTAGTGGGGTGTTCTTTGAGCTCTCAGCTCATCTAAATTAGTATCAGCCAACATTTCTTGAACACTTAGTACTGTGCTTGATGCTTTACACATTTATAACATTTAAAACAAGCTCCCTGAACATCCCCCACCTAGTGGGGAAGTGGAGCAGAAACCCTGTGACGAGCAGGGCATTACAATTTTGCCTTTATAATCCACCAAGGAGATAATTCACAGCTGAATTATTAGGACTGTAATTTGTTTCTTAGTCCCTGCTTGAATTACCTTACAAACATATTAATGTGCTCGTCACATGAGATGATGTATATGAGGAGCTTAGCATGGTGCCTGGTACGTGTAAGCACCCAATACATGGAAGTTATGATTATTTACTATTATTGTTGTTAACGTGTTAGTGTACTAACCATAGAAATGTGGCAAGAATTCAGAGTTGAAGGATGAGCATAGATGTAAGGCAGAGGTAAGAAGAGCATGGACATCAGTCATGATGTCCGTCGTCTGCTCCTCTAGGGATGAACAGGAAAGACACCAAGAGCTGGACTTCTGTGGGGCTGGGGTTGGTAGCCTGCTGATGTTCCCCATCTGGTCTCACCTCTGTTCTGTCTACAGTGTGGATGCAGCAGACAGATTTGTACCCACCAGCAGCCTGAGAGGTTAGGGTGGAGGGAGCCAGTGCAGTCGCATGGCATCGTTGTCTGGTACAGCACATCAGACAGTTGGACTTAACCTGCTCTGAGATTTTCTTTTGGAACTTGGGTTTGATGTTTTAAATAAGGAGTTGGGCTTCCCTGGTGGCGCAGTGGTTGAGAGTCCGCCTGCCGATGCAGGGGACACAGGTTCGTGCCCCGGTCCGGGAGGATCCCACATGCCGCGGAGCAGCTGGGCCCGTGAGCCATGGCCTCTGAGCCTGCGTGTCTGGAGCCTGTGCTCCGCAACGGGAGAGGCCACAACAGTGAGAGGCCCGCGTACCGCAATAAATAAATAAATAAGTCAAAGTTCAGCCCCCACCAGGTTGCTGGGTTGCTGGGAGAGGCAGTATCCCAGAGATAAGAACATTGTGTCAGATATATGGTCATTCGAAACCGTGTGATGTTAACTCAAGTCCCAGTTCTGTTTGTCCTGTAGCCATGTAAAAATCACCTCTTTATCTTCAAGATGGATGAGAAAAACTAAGAAAAACTGTGAGCACTCTGCCACAACTCAAATTGACCATGACACTCCAGTTACTTCTCTCCTGCCAAGTGAGGGTCTGTCCACCTGACTGCCCCACAGAGTTGGTTTTTGTCTGCCTTTGGTCAGTCCCATTGCTGCTACCACAGATCACTCCCTAGTCACTTGATATTTTGGTCATGGTCGATTGTGGTTTCTTTATTGGAAACTACAATTATTTTTAAATGATGATAAACCAGAAGTCTCCTTATTTTCTCTGTCACCTTGGCAGACTGTCAGAAATTGTTTCTGTTTCTCTCTCTTCTCTCCCATAACATCTTGTTCCTTACCTGGCTCAAAAATTCAATGGGACGTTTGGACTGGAAGCCCCTGCACCTTGGAGTTGGTGTACCCAGTGCTGTGGCATAGAATTGATATCAGCACCTTGGAGAGAGCACCACATTTCCAAGTCTCTTGCCCCTCTTATTTATTTATTTTTTTTTCTTGCGTTATGCGGGCCTCTCACTGTTGTGGCCTCTCCCATTTGCGGAGCACAGGCTCCGGACGCGCAGGCTCAGTGGCCATGGCTCACGGGCCCAGCCGCTCCGCGGCATGTGGGATCTTCCCGAAACGGGGCACGAACCCGCGTCTCCTGCATCGGCAGGCGGACTCTCAAGCACTGCGCCACCAGGGAAGCCCTTGCCCCTCTTATTTTAATGGCTACTTTCTTGCCTCGATTTTCCTCCCTTCTAGTCTTAAGATTCTCCAAAGAGGTTAGACATTTCTCCAGAAATAGAAATTCCTTCCCCGATTCTCCCAAAGGCTCCATAGGCAGAGACACTTATCCTGGGTTTGGGGTATGCGCTTCAGCCTTTGATGGGTGCGAGGTTTATGGTGCTACGGTGAACTGCTATTGAGGAGATTTACCGACTCTCAGACATGATATAAGACGATTACCATGCATTTCGTCTCTTAGAGGGAAAAGGATTTGCAGCGGGTTAATAGTACTTCTATTTCATTATCTAATAGTAAAAGTGTTTCATTGTGTGTGCAAGATGAATGCGTATTAGCGATGACAAATGAGGTCTTTCAGCACGGTGCCGGGCCTCATCATACATATGTTAGATTAAAGAGTTCACCCTAGAAATACACTCTTGCATCTGCTTGTGTGTTTTTAATAAATCTGATTGCAGAAATTTATTGCATCACCGGATTTAGGAAATTATGGGGCTTCATTGCTGCAGATATAATCGGGTGATATATACAGAAATGCTCCTCTAGTTATCGTCCAGAAAAAAGCCCATCTCGGGATGGTGCAAGAAAGCAGCAGACCACATAAACAGAGCATTTCTTGAATTATGCAAATAAAATCCATGACAACTCATGGTGAATTATTCTCCCCTCGTGAAACCGCCACTGTTAAAGGGAAGAAAGCTGCGAGAGGGGTGATCAAATATACATGTACAACCAGCAGACATTGTCTGTCATGTGTGAGCTGGAGCGTCCCCCACTTCCATCTCTCACTCTCTTTTTTTCCCTCCTTGGTTCATCCTGTAAAAACCTGGTCTGAAACCTTCATTGCACATAAGCAGGCAAGGCTGCTTCCAATCCTTTTCTTCTGAATCCAGGAGTCTTCAATGAAATATTTCTTATACTTGAAGTAAACCTTAGATAATTTACTGCAGGATACACAAAAGGTCATCTTGCTTCTTATTGGCACCTTCATTTTTCCAAAATCTACAGAAATTAAAAAGCCATCTATATCTTAAAAGGCGTATTTATGAACCCTTAAGTGTAAGTCATAGTTGGAACAGTTCCCACCTCTGATATATGAAAGCTGTCGACAGCACTTTCTTACACTATAATATGCCCATACAATATGCCGCACTTTACTATTTTGACACCGTTTGGAGATGTTTTCTACAGTTACTGACAAGCTTATGCCATCACTCCCTTGGAAATTTAAGAGGTGGCCCGCGTCTCCTGCATCGGCAGGCGGACTCTCAAGCACTGCGCCACCAGGGAAGCCCTTGCCCCTCTTATTTTAATGGCTACTTTCTTGCCTCGATTTTCCTCCCTTCTAGTCTTAAGATTCTCCAAAGAGGTTAGACATTTCTCCAGAAATAGAAATTCCTTCCCCGATTCTCCCAAAGGCTCCATAGGCAGAGACACTTATCCTGGGTTTGGGGTATGCGCTTCAGCCTTTGATGGGTGCGAGGTTTATGGTGCTACGGTGAACTGCTATTGAGGAGATTTACCGACTCTCAGACATGATATAAGACGATTACCATGCATTTCGTCTCTTAGAGGGAAAAGGATTTGCAGCGGGTTAATAGTACTTCTATTTCATTATCTAATAGTAAAAGTGTTTCATTGTGTGTGCAAGATGAATGCGTATTAGCGATGACAAATGAGGTCTTTCAGCACGGTGCCGGGCCTCATCATACATATGTTAGATTAAAGAGTTCACCCTAGAAATACACTCTTGCATCTGCTTGTGTGTTTTTAATAAATCTGATTGCAGAAATTTATTGCATCACCGGATTTAGGAAATTATGGGGCTTCATTGCTGCAGATATAATCGGGTGATATATACAGAAATGCTCCTCTAGTTATCGTCCAGAAAAAAGCCCATCTCGGGATGGTGCAAGAAAGCAGCAGACCACATAAACAGAGCATTTCTTGAATTATGCAAATAAAATCCATGACAACTCATGGTGAATTATTCTCCCCTCGTGAAACCGCCACTGTTAAAGGGAAGAAAGCTGCGAGAGGGGTGATCAAATATACATGTACAACCAGCAGACATTGTCTGTCATGTGTGAGCTGGAGCGTCCCCCACTTCCATCTCTCACTCTCTTTTTTTCCCTCCTTGGTTCATCCTGTAAAAACCTGGTCTGAAACCTTCATTGCACATAAGCAGGCAAGGCTGCTTCCAATCCTTTTCTTCTGAATCCAGGAGTCTTCAATGAAATATTTCTTATACTTGAAGTAAACCTTAGATAATTTACTGCAGGATACACAAAAGGTCATCTTGCTTCTTATTGGCACCTTCATTTTTCCAAAATCTACAGAAATTAAAAAGCCATCTATATCTTAAAAGGCGTATTTATGAACCCTTAAGTGTAAGTCATAGTTGGAACAGTTCCCACCTCTGATATATGAAAGCTGTCGACAGCACTTTCTTACACTATAATATGCCCATACAATATGCCGCACTTTACTATTTTGACACCGTTTGGAGATGTTTTCTACAGTTACTGACAAGCTTATGCCATCACTCCCTTGGAAATTTAAGAGGTGGGGCAGAGGCGTAGGGGAGAAATGAAAAAAAAACAACTCCACCCAACTTTATGGGAGATTATTGATCTGGCCTGACTTCTGACAAGCAAAAAAAGCTGTCCTGGATTTTTTTCGGTTGCATCCCCAGTTTCGTAAATTATTCATTTGTGCCAGGAGTCAATATCCTGTCTTTTCTCAGCTTTTTTATAAGTTAAGGAAACTTGTTTGGAATGCTGTTTTGTACGATGATTAAAAAGGAAAAGGAGGAAAAAAATCTTTTTCTTTTCTCTCTCCCTCTCTCTCTCTGTTTTTTTCTTTCTTTTTTTTTTTTTTTTTTATTGTTCCAGAAGGAGCTTAATTCCGTCGCTTCCGAGCTGTCTGCACGGCAGGAGGAGAGTGAACATTCTCATAAACATTTAATTGAACTCCGCCGGGAATTTAAGAAAAATGTACCTGAGGTACAGTATAGTTGCTATTATAGAATTAACTCAGTAGGAATGCAGATTTTTCTCTGTTCAAACTGTATTTTGAAAACTATAGACATAAGCGACTAACAAGAAAAGAAGCTAATTAGCCACGAAGAAAAATTACAACCCTCAACCTTTCCACGTTTCTCAGTATAGCGGTGCTCACTGGTGCTGTCTAGAATAAAAGCAGGACGCTTCTCCATGGAAGTCATTGTTTTTGAGGGCTCTATACCACATCCATTTTCCCCTCACGTTAATGTCTAAGTCAAATGCTTGGCCTTGACGGCAAAGACAATTTGTCTAGAGTTCCTGATTTTATTTTGCTTTCCCATTGGCGTCCGGGAGATGATGGCTGTAGACTGTCTCACCCTCTCTGGTCCTTCCCTTGATCTCCATGTCTGAAACTGTCTCCCCCACCTGCCCATAAACGTGCCTCATTCTCCCCCTTCACCTCCTCCTTTGCAACTCCAGCCACCAGCGTTGTCCTTCCCAGCTGCCACGAGGGTGGTCCAGGTAATGGCCAGCCCCTGCAATGTAAGAGTCTCCCAGGGGAAGAGACGAGAATGGACATGTTTCTTTCTTCACAAGGGTGAATGTGTGAATTTTTTTTCCTCCTCTGTCAGGCCCCCTGTTGCTTCTCAAATTTTTTTCTTTTAGTGATGGAAATAAACACAAATAGGAAAAAGAAAACCTTCTGACTCCATATAATGTTGGCAGGGATGTGACACATCAGAGCCATGACAGGAAACAGATACCCCGCCCATTCCCAAAGCCTGCTGTGCTTCTCTGTGCTCAGCAGAGGGTTGAGCTCTCTGTCCCAGGCTGCTCAGGTGGCCTGGATCTTGGAGGAGGCCAGACAGGGTCTGCCATTCCAGAGGTATCAGACCTGGACATGTTGATTCCACTCTGCCTGTTGGAATCACCTAGGGGTCCTGTTGCCATCTTACTGATGGAGGCCATGGAAAGATGGAGAAGAAGCAGGCCCCCAGGAATCAGGCCACATATGTGCAGAGGGGTCAGTCTCTTAGCTGTGAAGTCCTCCTCACACCAGTCATAAATATCTTTGGTTCTTCAAGGCAAGAGTGGGAAGTAGGATCTAGTTAGAACTTGTCCATGGAGCAAGTCTGGGAGGAATCAGGTTTGGGAGCTGAGAGTGCGCTTGTAGAAGGGGCGGGAATCTCAGATCTGAGCGTGTCTCCCATGTTATGGCTTTAGAAAGGCCAAGTTAAGTCCTGGGTTTGACTGGGAGCTAAGAAAGCATAGGGAGATTCTGAGCATCCTTCCCTTCCCTCTTAGAACAGAGAACAGCTTGGTCTTTAAACCAGTTTTTCTGCCCAGAAGGAGAGAACCAGAAGCTTTGCCTCTGACTCTTCAATCTCTGGGAAGCAGAGATGAAACGGCCACAGATCTTCACAGCCCACCATTTTGTCCTCCTTCCCCCAGGCGACGTGGGAGTCCCCAGGTGATGAAGGAAATCCAGGCCAGGTTTTAAGCCTCTGAGTTCAGCTTACATAATTTTAATACTGCATAATTATGCAATTATGTAATTAGAAGGAATAAGTTTCCATTCCTATTATAGTCGCGCCTCTGAAAATTCTCATTTTTGGAACTAGCCTCTCCTGATGGGGGAGAGTCATGCCAAGACTTTATTTAAGAACATCATCTGGCTGGTGCCCAGCTCACCTCCTGCTGATGCCTTTGCTCAGTTTCCCCCAGGGGTTAAGCAGACAGGTCAGTGGGCTTCTAGAAATGGCTGGCATTGGCCCCAAATCCCACCCACCCCACCGTGGGTCTCAGATTTGAATCCCCTAAATTCACTTGAGTGTGGGGCTGTGAACAGAGCCTTTTTGGGGAGTCTGTTGACCTGCATTGAAATCCCAACTATGCCACTCACTTGCTTTGGGACCTTGAACAAGGCAGCCCCTCTCGGGGCCTCTGTGTCCCTTGCTGTAAATTCAGGGGACTGGAAATGGTTTTTGAGCCCCTTCCAACACCGACATTTCCTGAACCCAGACCAGAGGTTTCCTGTTGATGTGTTTTATTTGGTCTGTAAAGGTCTTTCAAATTTTACAGTAAGTTGTCGATGTTTAGCATCTCTGATTTCACCCCAAAGCTTGGATTTCCGATATCTTTTGAGACTGTTCGGTAGATCTGGCCACGGGGATGCTCCATGCCCAAGTGACAGTCATCAGAAACAGCCGAGCAGCTGCCACTCACATTACCAAGATGCTGTGCTCCCCTGAGATTTGCCACGGGACAGCCTGTCTCCCCCTGTCCACTTCCTCCAGCCTCTGTGGGCATTTGAGTTTACAACCCACAATCTAGGTTTTCTTAAGTTTCGTTTTCTGCGCTCAGCCCAGCCCGTGCACTCACGGTTCCTTATGATCAAATAAATCCAGTAGGTTCACACGCACTCCATAAATCCCTCCTGAAGATCCCCTGCATACATCAGTATATCAGTGGCTCTGAGAAGCCCTGGGGGCCACAAATCAGTGAGGAAAGCATAGCCAGGACCCAGAAGAAGGATTGTTTCCAGGGCCAGAAACAACACAATCCTATTTCATAGTTAAGGGATTTTATTCTTCAGCTGAAATATGTATTCTTCAGCTCATCTCTTCCTTTCCTGTTTCTGTCTGCTACCCCCTCCCTCTCCATTCTCTCCAGCTCCCCTCAGCTCCTCCTCCCAAGGGGGTCTCTTGTGGGCCATAGAAGCCAGTGGTTAGGGGAGTCACCAGTGGGTCTCAGAGGAAACTGGAGCATTTATGGTTGGGATCTTGGTACCCTCGGTTCTAATCCCTCTTGCATGCTGAGAGAACTCATGGGAGTCCACCAAGGATGTCCTTGGGGCTGGGAACCTCAAGGTCACTTGAGAAAGGCATGAAATTAGGGTCCAGAAAGAGGAGGCTGCCTTCTGAAGACAGCCCAATGGCATAGAGTTGATCAAACATTTACAGAGCCCTTCTTCTGGGCTGGGTGCCATGGCAGGTGACCCCACCAAGCCCCCAGAAACCCCACCTTCTGGTGAGGAAGGAGTGACCATGCAGAGCGGTGTTGCTAAAATGCCAAATGCAGTCTTTGCTGGAGGGGGCAGCTGGATGGGGAAGCAGAAATGGCACCCTAGGGAGACATCTCCCGAGCAACCTAAAGGACAGAGGTTTTCATGTAGGAGCTTTGGTGACATGGCCCTGGGTGTGGAGCCTTTCCAGCCCCTGCTCCAAAAAATGTCCCATGATGGACCACCAATCCCGCAAGGGACTTTGCATAAAGGAGCATATTCCATGATCAAAGCCATTTGGGGAATGCTACTTCCTCCTCCCTCTTCCAGGAGTTCTCATTGCGCATTATATACCAGGCTCCAAAAAGCCCTGCAGGGAAGAAACTTGATGTTGTGCTGGATGTGTCCTAGTCGGATCTGGCTTGGCACCGTGGTGTGTGTTTGTGTCTGTCTGTAGGTGTATGTATGAGGAACCCTTATGAAACCTCATGGAGTGCAGGTCCCACGGGACACGCTTGGGAAATACTGATTTGGGGGACAGCAATGAGCTGCAAACAGGGGCCGTGGGGGTATCCCACTTGGCACCACGGTGAACTCTTCGCTGATCTCTTTTACAGGAAATCAGAGAGATGGTGGCTCCTGTATTAAAAAGCTTCCAAGCTGAGGTAAGACCCAAGGCCTGTGGCATGTCGCAAAAATACTTCCCAGTTCCCTCTCCTATCCCATCCCATCCACCTGGAGTTGCCAGAGGATGCCAGCAGCAGAGAAACTTCTCTATCCCCACTGCAAACTGCCCCATGCCCTCCTGATCAGCCATGGTATCATGATAAGAATGGGTTCTCTGTTCTGTTTGATGGGATTTCTGCCTGCTCTGAAATCCTCTCTACCACCCATCCTCTGAGGATATAAAATCTACACTTTTCACATCCTTTCCTGCCAACCCATCGGGCCCTAGTTCCTTTGGCAGCAGCTGAGCTGTCCTCAGCCAGTTGTTTCTCTTGCCTTCCTGGAGCCCTGGGATGGAGCTGAACCTCCTCTGTTTCTCCTCTTTGCTTGACTTTGTGACCAGGGTTCTGAGAATGTCCACTTGTCTGGCTGGTGCAGGAGGTAGGCTAGGAAAAGAATGGAATTACATTGAGTCAGGAGAGTGGAAGGGAGGGCCATTTCTCCAGTGTTCTGTCGTCAGGGGGCTCTTCTCCATCTTCCCCTGTATTCAGGCAGAACCCTGGAAGGATAGGCCCTTCTCAGAGCTCGCCAGTGGAGATGCATTTTAAGTCTGTCGTCTGCCAAGTGCCACATTACTTTAAATCTGTCTCTTCGGAACTGCGTAAGCGCATAAGGCAATATTAAAGTAAACAATAACTGGATTTACACAAATGTCGCTGATTTCCATATTTTTCATCCTTTCATTTTATTACTGAGTTGACTGATGCGCTTATTTATTTATAGGGCCATCCGGTATTGATTCATTTGGTTGTAAGGTACCTGAGCTGGAAGGGGGTAGAAAAAATCCAGAAAGAAGACCAATAATGTTGGGAATGTGTCGTCATGGCTTTTATGTTTTTAAAAAAAGGCCCCCATCTGCCGCCAGCTCATGGTCCCCTGAGAAATACTCAGCACACAAGCCCTCTCAGGCAGCTGATCCCTCTGTCCAGCCCAAAGACAGGCAGTGAGTGTCTTGTGTAGAGCGTCACTTTCTCAGCCATTCCCTTGCTTGGGTTGGTGTGGCAGAGCTTCTCTTAGCTACTTAGACCCTCAGTTTCTCTATATGTTAAAGTGGAATAAAGGCACTGCAGATCTTTTCATGTTGTTTTGAGGATTAACTGAAATATAATGAAAGGAAAGAGTTTAATGTAATTCCCGGTACGTGGAGAGCTGCTAGGGAGTGAAGAGCACAGACTCTGGAGTCAACCTGGATTTGAATCCTGCCTCTGCCAGTTACTAGCTGTTTGACCTTAGGCAAGTTACTTGACCTCTCTGTGCCTCTGTGTCATACTCTATAACACTGGATAATAATTATACCTACTTCATAGGGTTGTGATTGAGGAAGAACAAAGTCAATACTCATGGAGTGCTTAGGACATTACCTTGCATATTAGAAGTCTTATTATTTTATTATTCCTATTATCAGTCACCTTCAACACAGGTTTATTTGGCCTCCACTATGCCTGGGTTGGAATCTGCCTCTTTCCTAACTAGGTGTTCAAGGATTTTTATCCAAAAGAAGGGGGTTTTCTATCCCTATAGGAAGCAGGCATGACTTATGCCATCTTTCCAATAGGAGAAAGAGTTAAACATTATATTTCGGCAGTGATCCAGGGAAGACCCAAGTGCAGCATGGTGGAAAGCACATGTGAATCAGACTCGTATGGGCCTGGCTTGAATTTCAGCCCTGCTGCTTATGTGAGCTGTGTGACCTGGGAGAAGTTCCTCTACCTCTCAGAGCTGCAGCTTTCCTCCTCTCGTAAGTGAGGCTAACAGTAAGGACTCTAAGAACTAAGCAGGGTGGAGGCAGTCGACATGGTATCTGGCACACAGTTGGTGCTCAGTAAGTGCAGGAGGAGAGCGAGAGTCTTAGTGGGACCAAAATAGGCAAAGCTGAATTTTCATTTCCAAACCCATGTGGCATGTTGAATACACACCATTTTAATAGCCGGGGATCTTCAAGGAACTTCGTTAATTGTTTTTAAGAGGGTTTTCTGTCGTCCCTTTAATGTACCAAAAAGACTACATTTGTCTGGAGTTTTATTCCCGAAACCCCTGCTTTCTTCATGATCTATTGACTAATCCATTGCGGCCGCCATGTCCCTCCTAGCGCCTCAGGGGAGAAATGCCGGCAAAGAAAGGTGTTAATAAAAAGCATCTCCTTCATCCAGAACAAACTGCACACACATAGGCCGTTTATAATCCAAATTTGATTTTCATTTTAATTTTTTTAATGAGGGTTCATCCTTTATGCCACTTCCTTCTCGCCAGCCACCAGGCTCTGGGCTCAGAGCTGAGGATTCCCAAGTGGGCATTAATCACCTCCCAGGAATATTCCCTGAGGCAAACACCTTCCAGAGTCATATAAACTAACCCATAAAACGCCAAGGCTGAATATTGTGCCTGTCATTCCTTCTTCCCCAGTGTGGGCCTCTTGTTGAAATATAACACGTTCAAGTTCATTCCTTAATTTCACTCCACCAGCCCTGGTGAATACAGCATACGAGCATCCTTTTATCTTTTCATACTGTGTATGTGTGAGGGTCTTTTTTTCTTTTTCTTTCTTTCTTTCTTTCTTTTCTTTCTTTCTTTCTTTCTTTCTTTCTTTCTTTCTTTCTTTCTTTCTTTCTTCTTTCTTCCTTTATTCCCTGAGGCAAACACCTTCCAGAGTCATATAAACTAACCCATAAAACGCCAAGGCTGAATATTGTGCCTGTCATTCCTTCTTCCCCAGTGTGGGCCTCTTGTTGAAATATAACACGTTCAAGTTCATTCCTTAATTTCACTCCACCAGCCCTGGTGAATACAGCATACGAGCATCCTTTTATCTTTTCATACTGTGTATGTGTGAGGGTCTTTTTTTCTTTTTCTTTCTTTCTTTCTTTCTTTTCTTTCTTTCTTTCTTTCTTTCTTTCTTTCTTTCTTTCTTTCTTTCTTTCTTCCTTCCTTTCTTCCTTCCTTCCTTTCTTCCTTTCTTTCTTTCCTTCTTTCCTTCTTTCCTTCCTTCCTTCCTTCCTTCCTTCTTTCTTTCTTTCTTTTTCATGCTGGTGGGGGGGGGGGCGGAGAGGAAGTGAATTTGCCCTGCTGTGAATCAAGGAAGCTTTTCCTCTCCGCCTTGATTGCTTAAAGGACAGTCTTGATTTCCCCTGCTCAGGGAAACAAAGACAGCCAGAGAAGGTGGCTTAATGGAGACAGCTTGAAATGGCCAAAGTTTGAATATCCTTGCGCGCAGAGAAAAGAGCAAGACGAAAGCCCTGCTAATTACAAAAGTTGCTTTATGAAAGATAATTCAAAGCAATAATTTAGCAAACATAATCAAGTCGCACAGATGGGGTTGTTGATGGATGGATTGCAACATGCAATTAGCAGTTCTCGTAGTTACATATCATTAACCCTCCGAGCACAGAAATTATTTTCTCATTATTAGTTGAAAAGGTAAAATTAAGCTGACTAGACAGTAAAGGAACAAACTACAATTAATTATCTTCATTTATTACAGTCATTATTTTAAACTTATTTTTACTTGGAGAGAGAGACGAAAACATCTAAATTAAAAGTTTTCTTATGCTAAATCAGAGGTGAAACTTCTCTAAGGACCGTGTGCAGTGGCCCAGCCAGAAGATGGCAAGGCCACTGCTGGGAAGTGTTTTTTCCCTGCTTCCTTCCTCTTCCACCTTGAAGAGGTGGATATGGCCTGCATGATGGAAAACCCTTTCCGTTGAGTTGGAACAGACACGTTCATCTGGGCCTGATTGAAACAGAGCAGTTTGGGAACCAAGGAGGCTGAAGTGTCCTCTGACCCCCAGGGGAGGCGGGAGAGTGTGGAGGTCAGACATCCAGGGTCTGTGTCCCACCCTGACACTGCTTATATGACTTTGATAAGTGACTTCATGTCTCTGAGCCACTGTTTCCTCATCTGTAAATAGGGACAGCTCATCGGATTGCAAGAGGTTCAGTGAGATTCTCTGTTGATTGGCCAGCGAGTTATTTGTTCTCATTGTGGTGGGTGTGTTTGGTTCGGGTCTGAGAATGTTCTCTCCCTGTCCTCTTAGGATCAGAGGGGAGCTCGTGTGGTGTGACCACCTTTTAGGAGCTTAGAGACGGGACTAAGATGCCATCTAGGGCTTCCCTGGTGGCACAGTGGTTGAGAGTCCACCTGCCGATGCAGGGGACACGGG